AAAGTATTTCGACCGTATTGGATAATGCGCCGGCGGTCACGGTCAACCGTTGGGCGATCGGAGTGTGCGGTTTTTGGGGCCGACCTTTTCTAACCCGTCCTTCCTCGGGGGAAGGCAGCATCGCTGCTTCCATAAATATGGAATATATGCTGGCCGCCTGGGGGAAACACCTTACTGCCTTCACACTCCTGTCGCAGAGGACAGTACGACTTTACCTTCAGGCCGCCTCGTAGCACAATTACTCGTAGTACGGGGTCTCGCTGCTCTTGATCTGACTGCTCCCCTTTGGCCTTCCTGGCATGGTTGTACCTTGTGGAACGAAGTTCCAGCCAGTGTAGCCCACGGGATCATTGCAGCACTCAAGCCCGACCACCACGTCAAGATGGCAGCTTTAGGTTGGGGGTCACACGTACAGACCATATCTGTTGATATACATTGTTTTTATTGAGGTGAATCCTGGAATGCTTTGAGGGTGCCGAGAATGTTCTTCCTCTCCGTTTCTGCTCAACTTAGGGTGTTTCGGTACCTTCCAAGCTGTCATTACCGGAAACAACGACTTTGGAATCGAGCTCCTTTGGAAAAGCGGAGTCCATTGTACGCAACACGCAAATGAAACTGCTCATTTTGGGCCGTGTCCACGCGTGTTACTTATCCCGGACAGATTGACGGAGTGTTCTTCACCATTAATGCTTAAAGTGCAGGTACAAGACTGGTCCATCTTTTCCAAGTATTTTGACGATAGGAAATGATTCACTGGAATTGGCCGATTGTATTACTTACTTGAGGAGCGCGATGTCGCTTCTGAGGCGGACACTTGGGGACCAAAAGCCAAAGTGGCTTGATTGGCTTGCAGCATCCATGGAAGAGACGCGATGCTCGTTTAACGTTGAAGCGACGGACGCATAACGCGTCTTTTCGAACGTGGCCTGTTTATGAATGCGAAAACTTGCTCCTTTGAGTCGATGACTTCTGAATTGACTGTTGGCGTTCGACTCTTACTGGTTACTTGAAAAATCTCGCGTTTGCTGCAATACTTGAGCAGTAGTGTAGGTACAGTAACACGTCCTGCACAGCGGTGAGAAGACGAACTTGTCAGAAATCATTGCTGAAAGGACAACTGTGGTGGAGCCTACACGGCTCCCATGGTGCTTTAACCGGAACTGAGCAGAAAAAACGGCGCGTGGGACAATGAATGACGTGGAGATAAAAGATGAAAAAGTGCTCTGGTGACCTGACGACAGTGGGAGCCTTCCTCCCACCGAAATGAGATCTGAAAGACAACCACTGTTTATAATAGAAGGCTTTGTCAGTTGGTTTTCCGTTGTTGTTTTCATCCTTCTTGCACTCTCGATGTTCGAAATCCTCGCATTTGATCGAACGAAATGACTACTCGTTGATAGCGTCGGAAAAAACCTCCGAGCAGCCTATTGACTCTTTGTGGCGTTAGGAGACTAGCCTTCAAACCAAACTTCGGTTGTCACGTCTCCCTTCATCCTCCTTTGCTTCATGGGTGCAAAGTCTTGTCATTATGGTGCTTGGCTGTGGGAAAGCTGTAGATGATCGAACGATGGTCCCTATGGGCACACCTGAAATAAGATGGATCGATCGGGTCTGCAGTAAAGCAGTCCGATAGCATTGTCCCGATATATTAGAACGGACCATCCGTTTCCAGTAACGTTGATTGCAGTGGTCCGGATACGCATTCCACAAAACTCATGTGGGGGAGGTTCGTTCCGGTATTGGCGCTGTTGTGGAGGCGGGAAGCCAAAGGCATTGTTGTTCCCAGTCACATCGGATGTTGATCCGCTTGGTCTTCAGTTTATCTACAGTATCGGACTCTAAAGGCCTCATCTGTACAGATTTTGTTGCGGATCGGCGGTCGTTGTCAGAGCACTACGCGGTGTTCACGGAATTTCATCCATGTCCAAGACAAATGCAAACTCTCGCGCTTCAAATGTTGAGAAATAAAAAGCAACTCACTAGTCGTTCCAGGAGGATAGCTTTCATAACAGTTTTCCCGCTTGAACTGTCATGTTAGGTCTTGATGGAATGCTCTATCCTTATGGGGTTTAAGACTCATACTATTGACAACCGAGTCCAGATAGCCCCGACTCATTTGGCTTTTTCGCCACCTCAGTTTGCCTCATGTTGCTTTCCAGTGGAATAGAAACCCGAATTACCCCTATTCCTCAACATTACCATCCCCATTTCTAAGTGTCGTACGTAGCGCGCCGATAAGCAAGTACATACTTAAACTTGGATGGATAAACGGTACACCAGTCGCATGGCAGAATGTGTGGACTCTTTGTCACGCAAGTCGTACTTTCTTCATAAACACCTTTATTTCAGAACCCCTCAATGAAGCACAACCTTCTCTGGTGCACGTAAGGCAGCAGATCTCTCATGGGTTACTTAGGAACTTCCTGCGTATGTGCGTTTTTACTGTACGATTAATTGCTTCTACGAAGTTTGCACTCCAAGATCTTATTTTATAAGAGCCGGGCGTTGAGGTGCACACAAAGCACAGGTAGTCCACAGACAGTTTTTGTCAACATCGTTATATATGAGTTGTTTATCATTTACGAAAAATCTCCGGTCTAATCTGCGTTCTATCCTGTCGATCGTTTCTGCTTAGGTATGAGTAACCTTGTTGTGTATGAGCCTTCGCATTTTCTAAGTGAAAGCAGAACGCATATCAGAGCGAAATGACTTGATTTGGGGAAGAGAGCATGTTAGACTCCAACATGCCAATGCCTTCGATTGAGATACCTCCGTTGGGATACAGTAGCCAGTGAATGGGGGTACCTTGTCTTTGTGAATGTCCAGATTTTCGGGAGATTTTTCGGATGGCTGGCTTATCTTTCGTTTATTTGACCAAGCAGATGCACTATGTTAGATACAGTCTTTCAGGCCGTTACGTACCGTCATTCGCTTAAATCAGCCGCCAATGGGCAGCCGTGAGCAGACACAGTATTCTTGCGACGCCCTCACCCGTCAACCCTAAAAAGATATTTCGTTTAACGCGGGAATTGATGAAAGACTAGCGCGTGCTCCAGTGTCAAGATATTTTATTTGTAAACTATTTCTAGCATGTATTTAGCACCTTGTTAGTCTGACAGGCCAAATTCAAACGTAACGGATAAGTATTATCACGTTACAATATGCCATCCTGAGGGAATTACATCTGTCCTATTAATCACATGCGATTCATGGTTATCCCTCCTGATGAACTATAGACGATGAGTGAGTGTGATTTGAGGGTTTGGTCCTAAATTGCCAATATATTTTTCATCCTAGGTATCAGTGCCCTCTATCGTGGACTCGGACCCACCCTTCTGCGGACATTTCCGGCCAGTGGAGCCCTGTTTGTAGCGGTTGAATGGACCAGGAAATTCGGTCACTGGGTTTTGGATTAATTCACTCTATATTCTGGCTGTATCAGTTTTCGATATGTTTCGATTAGGGATATTTTTTGTTGCTTGACCACATTGTTTTTTTTTCATTTGGGATGTTTTATGCCGTAGCACTGACGTTCGTAGCTCCCTACTTCCAAATCTATTTTCATATACACTTTGTCGAGCATTTTATTGGAACTCTGCATTACTGTGTGCTGCACAACAAATCGCCTAGAGGTTTGTTGTATGGCCCACCAACTCTTATTCGACAGTAAGTCCAAGCACGCCTTACTTTTGTAATATTGAGATCGTGATGATATTTCGTTTTATTTCGTTTGTCCACACTTAACCGATTTCAGTAATAGTAGGTTTTTTCCTTGATTTCAACGTTTTTGATTTTCATAAGACATATTGGTCGCCCCAGAGTAGCTGGTGGCCGTCCCTGTACGGTTAGAGTAGATTGCATTGAAGGCTTAAATTCGCTGTGGTTTCAACGCAATATGCTCTTAATTTTGAGAAAATCTTATGTAAATTGCTCAAAGTATTGACTGTAAGATCATCACGATGCACTTCAAGGATAGAACCTCCACATTCTAACCAGAGATCAACTGTGTTCACACTGTCGCTCTAGATAAAACAATTTTGCTGCGTCCCGATGGTTTCCGACGAATTATATACAACCAAAACAAAACAAGCACTGACCCTTTCGTTCACATGGTCAACGCTAGGTTGTTCCGTTCAGAATGAGCACGACCCAAGGTTTCTCAAACACCATCGGCAAGCCTATTCTCCCTTATAACCCATATCTGACTAGGCACTTAGTTCCATCTATGAGTATGAATGACGCCCACTCATATAGAATACGGAATATTGCCCTGGCCAACATGTTGAACGATATTTTTCGGTATCCTGTTCGGCGTCGACGCAGTCCGAGGGAGCTGTGACCATAACATGGAACGCCTATTCTCTTCCCTCAAGCGAGCGCATTCCGACCCTCACTGGATTCTGGTTTTGAAGCGAGAGAAGAGAAAGAGAGCACTCTTGGGGTTCACCGGTTAAAGTGGCCGTTTTTGGGAGAAGATCGATAATCGAGCGGATTGATCAAAGCTTTGGTTGTGTGGCAACGGACTAAGGCTTATATGACTAATATCTATCGGGTTTTAAGAAGTCTGTTTTGCCTGAAAATTCAGAATCCTGTTTGATCCATTTTGAAATATGGTCCTTGCACAGTGGACGTATAGGTGGAACTTTGTTGACCCAAATACCTTTGGTGAATGAATGTCTGGCAGCTATAAGCATGTAGCAACCTGTACCCAGTGTACGGTTGTTGTTGACGACTAATCAGAAGAGCTGACATCTCCCTCAAAGACAGAGTCTACTTAATAACCTTCATAAAAGCCTAGCTTTTAGTTTATACTAAAACATTATCAGACAGGATCTACGTACAATAAAGTGTTGTAAATAGACTAAGCTTGCACGGTGACATAGGGCCTGTAAAGGTGCTCGGAAACATCATAATACACCCTACTTCCACTAGTACGTTTCAAGGGCACGTGGGACTGATCACATTACGTATGAATGTATCTTTAAGAGACAGTAAAAAAAAATCTACAGCTTCAGTTTGCAACGATACTAAACTATCGGGTTCGTATATGCTAACAACTTCACGTTTACACTGTTCGACTAAACTGCATAATATCCACTTCACTTTTAAGCGACAGGGATATCTCTTTCAAAAATTGATTGTCTGAAAGTCTGAGCTATTCGGCTGGATAGCCAACGCCCGAATGAACTTTCATCCAGAGATCGAGGCAACAATACTTGCATCTCTTCGTAGCGCTGGGCTCATAATCCGTACTAAACTCAAGCCGTGAGATCACATTTCGCTACGGAAATCTTCGTTTGCAGTAATGCACGTTGGATGTAAGCACTAGAGCTAAGCCTGATTTTTGAAAGTCTTGGCTATTTATATCTAGCCGGGAGTCAGTTGCCAGGCCAAGTTACTTCCGCTACTTCCCAAAGGAAGTGTGGTTCCTGTTGAGGAGTTGTCTTGATGTTTTGCTTTGCTTGGGATGGGTTTTGGTGCCTTTTACTCAATCTGATGGTAACCGTCACGCGACGGAACGAAGTAGTTTCTACAAGGGGAAGTTTGGGAGCAAATTTGGTAGAAAGATGGGGGTACTGTGATATGACAGTATCTTGATGCTTCCGCTTCCATCGGTAACTATTAGCCAATCGGCGTGCCATTATCAGGGCCTTTCGCGCACCATTGGCCTTCCTAACTAATTTCCAACTTGGTTGATATGGATGGCAGCCAGTTTAGCTGCCACGTTCACAGCAATTGACGAACCTGACGGGGTGTCAGATCACGAGTATCTAAAACCGAACGGAGACATCTGTTTACATAACATCGGTAACAGAAAGGACGAATACGTTAACGTGGCACTTTCTAGCCAACCACTGAAGCTTATCAAAAGCGCGCCCTTTCAAATGCCTTAGTTTGTCCGGGTCTGGTCAGATAGTTCCCCTTGGAGGAAACCAGGTTTTATGTACCAATATTGCTCTTAGTCGTGCTGTAAGATTACGGAAGTTGGGTGTCCAAAAGCACTGCCCAGATTTTGGTGATCTGTACAAGCTGCGAAGTTTTGTCGTGTTATCACTTCACCATTATTGTTCTAAGTGCTTTGTATGCATTTTGAAGCGGTTCAGTACTAGATGTGTTTGGTGTTATGTTAAACATAATAAGGTTCCCCTCAACAGAACTAACACTCCTGGCTGTCGTAGGCTGGAATTTCGAAACTTTTTTTACCGCAATTGAAAAGATGAACTGCTGCTAACTAACAATTGTGATTGCACCTGTTTACCCCTGTGTTCACTTGTTTCCGCTTGTCTCATTCACATTTGTGACGCTAGACGATGCAAATTTTCCAACAAAAAAATTCAGATCAAATTTGGTGGTGTGGTGTTAATTTTGGCGTGCACACTTCCGAATAATTCTTTGCATGGTAGATTGTTTTCACATCCACTGATCAATGGTTGAAGCTCTTGAAGTGAAACGACCAAAACGCGAAGTTTATGATGGGATTTAGTCGGTACACAGCTACCGTTGGATCTCCTATTTGGATATCGACTTCCCACAGCGCTAAGCCGGAGGAAGATCGACTTTCAGACGACTCCAATTGCAAAATAAACTCTAGAGCAAAGGTAGTTAATTGTGCACCAGTCATCCAATTGGAATGCTGCACACAAGCGTCGTTTTGTGTTGCAAATGGACGAAAAATTTCCGTACAAGATTTAACTGATGGATACAAAAAAGGGTGGGAGATCAAATAAGCCTATTCGCATGACTGAGCTCGGTCGTCAAATACTGTTCATGTATAAGCATTTCTCAGTGTTTCTGATGTCAGGTGTACAGGTGACCGATCCCGCAATCACATCCTAGCTTTGAATTGAGTGGCATTTTTATTCAATAATACTCTTGTCTAGTTGGGGCGGTCATTTTCGAGGCAAATTGAACAAATGTAAGATACCGTTTAACGTTGGCCGGCTCGTAATTAGACAGTTTCTCAATGCCGGATGAAAACGGTTTGGTCAATGTGATCTTTCAGTCCAGAGGGCTCTACATTTGTTCCGACTGCAAAACTTGAGGGAGGTCATCGTTGAGTCCGATTCGGCATCATGATAATTCCCCTGTATATTTGCTTACTTCATACGAGCACTTTTGACCCACACCCGTTTTGCTTATCCCTACCCGCCATTACTGCAAACGCCTCTTCGTTCGCGACAGGTCTACCGGCATGAATGTGTGTGCCATTTGGCTAATTTCCCCATGCATGTTCCTGTCCCGTCTACTAGCCCTGTTCTCGCTTGTCCTGTCGTGACTTCCGTGTAATCTCACCGCCAGTCAGAAACACAAGACCCACAAAACCGAGCAAACATTCTGCTCGCCATTGTTCGGTGTGCGAACCTTAGCACTGCGCTGCGCCGGTCGGTGACAAGCACGGTATGTGTGCTTATTCGCGAGGAAATCCTAGTAGTCTGACATAGGAAACTTGCAACAGCCCCTCCCCCCCCCCCACACACACCAAAATTTTTTTGGTTCTTTNCACACACACACACGAATGATTTGTGTGTTCTTCAGAAGGTATCAGCCGAAAGTAAAAACTGTTATTGATGCTAAGATAAATTTTCCTCTGGAACACCCGAAGAGAGATTATATCACCTGTGTTGCGTCCTACAAATGAAGATAAGTAAAGCTTTGATGAGTTTATCCTGAAGCCTCGAGAAACCCATTTTACACGATCGCCATGCCCGTCCAGACGGAGCCAACCAGGAATGGATCTGTGGTTCATTATCGCAGTGGCAGAGACACCCCAACAAAATGTGGCTAATAGGCTTGTGAAGCATACGAATCCATCAGATAGCGCAACATTCTGGGGGTAGCTTTGAACTCGCTGAACAGGTGATGGAGAGGAATTCTCAAAGTATTATTGTCATCTCCGACGTGAAATCTGTTTTTATGCCTTTATTCATGAACCGAATTACCTGCCATTTTTAAAAGTGAATGGGGAGTTTTTGATTCACGTAGTGATAATTTACGCTTCATATTTGAATTAGGCGCGGTGAGTAGCCCTTCTTGGCTCGACATCTCCTGAGGAACAGGTCAAGTCAGAAAATCAGTGGAATGGAGGGATGCATTTAGAATGTGGAGTGTGTCTGTCATATATGAAGCGGTGCTCAACAACCGGAACCAAGTATTAGGCACTAGAACCGCCACACGGCAACATCCTGTTCTCCAACCAAGAAACAACCTTACCTTCCTGACGTGAGGATTTCAGGACATATGGTTCGGTCCTTCATAGAACGAACACCAGCCAGTGGTTCCCATTTTAGAACTTGTATCAGAACCCATATACCACCCTTCATCATCGGGGCAAATGGGATCTGCTTTGCAAGCCATTTCGGATTTGAAGTTTGCCAGTCTATCTCAAGCCGAAAAATATCCGGATGCGTTTACTAAAAAATATTTTATCCCTGTCCTTCCTTCTGTACCAAGAAAACGTTTTTCTAACTGGGATGCAGGAAAGATAATGTATAGAATCTGGGGAGTCCCCACGTTCAACTAGCAGTGAAAAACATTCCAGGCTACTGACGTGTATCTACCTAAACTGAAACGAACACCATTGCAATGTAAGGAGTGGCTGGTCCACTCTCAATCTCAAACTGTGTGACTCTACACAACCGTTTGTGTGGAAGTGAGTACTTAAGTGGAACATAATCAACGAGAGATTCAGCTGGGTCCCAGATGAATCTGTCGCAAAAAATTTGTTTGCAAATGAGTGTA